CTTTTTACGGGTCATGCAGCTCTGTGCCGGCCGCCCTCCCACCCCTCGGCCGTGCGTTTTATGGGAAAATTTCTACTTTTTAGGGGTTTCGGGACCTAAAAACTAACACCAGAGGGAAAATAAACCACATACGTTATTTTCATGGTAAATATCGCTAAAATGGACCACGCATTTTTCTTCCGCGTTACCGATTTTTAAAAAGGCCTCGCCATGTGCTTCACGCCGATAGCGACTCGCCTTCCCCCGTCCGGTTTTGTGAGCAAATTTCTGCTTTTTCAGACGTTTTGGAACTTAAAAACCGACAGCAGGCGAAAAACATTTATTTTCATGGGAAATGCCGCTATACTGGCCCAGACATTAATCTGTTGCGTTAACCGAATTTTGCGGCCGCCACATGCTCATGGTGCGGTACGGTAGGGAATTTTCCACGGCTAGTTCGTAAACATATCGGCTTTATAAACTTATTTTCGGGGTCGAGGGCTTTGTTTTACAAACCAATCAGACAATTAGCGTTGTTTACATGACTTAAAAACGCTAGCGGGGCGCCCGATGTTCCACCAATGACAGCTATTCTCTCGGTAGCGTCGTGCGAAATGGTAATTGTTTACTCGTTTATCGCCCATTCACAAGATTCAGAAACAATGCCGACGGGAAAATGGACGCCACTCGCGTCAAGATTTCGATGTTTTGGGCCTATTTATCCGCGAAAATACGAAGAGAAGACCCTTAATTTGAAAATTTTGGGAGTGGCGCTAGAAATTTTGGGAGTGGCGCACCGCCGTTGCACCATTGCCTGGGGAGACCCCTGATCTATGATTTAAGCCCTCAGTTTGTGCCTTAATAATTAACAGCATTTCCTTACACCTTAGAAAGGGACAAAAGCCTACGTGAAAAAGAAGGGATTCCGACACAAAAGTGGGACTAAATAATGCAAACAGAACCTGAGCTAAGTAAAGTAAGAAGGCCAGCAGGTTGTTGGTAAATCGATAAGTATGGTCAGTTAGGTTTTATCCAGAAGTTTGCTGAAGTTATTTCCGATTTTTTTGGCTATCGAAATTCAGCTTTTTTTTCTTGATGAGCTTTACCAGTCTAGGCCTGTGTTTTACTTCTAGCTGGCCTGAAATTTTCTTCCCATGTCTTAATTTTCACGTAAAAATTATGTTGAGCTTCAAAATTTGCAGTTGAAACAATAAGTAGTCATACATAACAAGGCATATTTGCAGTACCAAGAATTTTTGGTGGAGAGGTCACTGCAAGACCAAAACCACTGGAAGAGTTTTCACGATTTACAGTAATCCCAGAGTGTCCATGTCATTCTGAGACAATGTGTGGGTGGATTAGACTATACCATGACCTGTTTTTGTAGCAGAGTGGGCGACATAAAGGAACTGCCAGTCTGTCTTGGTCCTTTCAAGTCTTTCTTTTTTTAAATCCTAATCCTACAGTCAAAACAGCCAGAGAAGACTACTCAGGACTGATAGAATCTGGTCTATGTGGACAGGTGGTCACTATAGACAGGAGTTTTAATTGATGCTTGTGTCAATGAGAAAAATTATCTAAGGGGCCACCAAATAAGTGGTCGCAATGACCAGGTGGTCATCATGCAGAGATTGTCTGTTGTACAGGTTTATCTTCTAAGCCTAAAAGATACCTGTTTCCGTTTTCTAATTTCAAATTCTGAAGAACATCTCGCTAGGTTGTTTTTTTACGCCCACAGAATTTTTGTACTAGTGAGGTAGGAAGTCATCCAACCGCCAAGAAAATGACACCCCCCCCTATTTGAAGTACCGTACTTCCATCTCCCGAGAGAACGAAAAGAGATCAAGACCAAGTTGTGAAGTCCTGCCATAAGCAAAACACAAATTTCATATCCATGTTTGGGAGGCTTGTGAATGTTTCTTATTTTCCCCATTTCAAGGTAATAAGAATCTATACTATAAGAGTGAAAATGTGTGATGCTTTGACAAAAAAATTTAAGAAGTAAAACCTTTATGATATATAACAAAAAAAGCATTTTCTTCTTCTTTCCACAAGGCATATGAAGAACCACTAATGGTGTGAATGGCTCATAAAATAACCAGGCAAAGAAAGGCTACCAGGTAACATGATCGCAGAACAGTAGCTTGGGGTGACTGACCTCAAACCATGTTACACTCACTTTAAAAACCCAAGACTATCAAAAGCTACAGTTGGAACAGACAGGTTCAATTTACTTCAAATACTCCTCCTACACATGGCTATTTAGTACACTGTAGAAGTGGATAGACTGAACTGCCAGAGAACTAGTGGGTGTATTCCTGTGGGTGGATGTTTGTGGTTAGAACACACCCCTCTCTTACACCCTGGAGTTTTTATAAGGGCTTCCTGTTCCTTTAGAAGGAGGAACAGAAGTATCAGGTGTCAAGAGCCCAAATCAGTTGTTTCCCTAAGGCCTTAACACTACCCAGACTCAAAACAAAGAAGGTAAAGGGCAGATGGCCTTTCTTGAGGCCTTCGGGGTAGTGGGTTGCTAATCTAATGTGTCTTGGGTACGGTATTGGAAGGTGGAGCCCATCCCTCTCCTTTCACTGCCTTTTACCTCCCCAACCAAAGTCTGGTGCCCATTTTACACCTGGGTGTAATTTGTGTGAGGTGCCTTTCCCAGGGAATCAAACCTGTCTTCTAGATCCTGTGCCCAATCATGATGACATATGCCCCAGACTATATCATACCTAATATGATATAAACATATCCCTTGAGCATCTGGACAGCTCTAATCAGACCTAATTCTAACCAGAGGTCAGTGAACCCAGTAGCATGGCCAAAAGTCACTCATACAAAACCTCAGAACTTATGTCAGTATTCCACAGTTAGTTCTGAGGTTATCTTGAAAGTTCATCTGTGTTGATAGTGGTCATTATGCAGCAAGTTTAAACTGTAATTTCCAACACAAGAAATTGGACTCACCCAAATTTTTGATTGTACAACTCCCGTCTTCTACATTCCTTGACAAAGACTGGAGTTGTACAGTCTAAAATTTGGGTGAGTCCAATTTCTTGTGTTGGAAATTACAGTTTAAACTTGCTGCATAGTTCTGAGGTTGTAGATTTAGTGATATTTTCCAACATTTACTTCAGGAATTTATCACTACAGCAAAAACTGTCTTGCAAGTACAGAAATTCTGCATTATTTTGATAACAGACCACCCGAAATGTCACAACTGGATGGTAAGTACTTGGAAGTGTGCATCTCTGATTGGAGACCAGGGAGACAGGACATTGTGCTTTCAACTTTTACACCTCGTGATTAGCTGGTACTTGAGAAAGGATTTCACACTTCATCGCTTAAAGATAGATCCTGGAGAATTGGGACACTTGGTCCTTATATCCAAGACAGAGGACTGTCCTAATTCAAAATGGGGCTGGAAATACATTTTGGGGAGATGTGCACTCGCCTAAGCTGAAAATTTGGTTATAACTTAGGTCAAAACAGCTCCAATTTTGGACGCACAAAAGTGCATATACACCCAGTATTTCGTGGCATGAAAGTGTGTTGGGTTCTTTAAAAACATGCAGAGGTTTGATATACAAAGCTCCCAGCATATACAGTTAAATTTTCATCCTAGACCCCCCCCCACACACACACACACAATTCATTGGTACAGTCGAAATGCTTGACCACATGCGAGTAACTGAAGTGCTGTACCATAACTCATGAACCCACACCTCAGTCTATAAATTCTCTGTCGTAAATGTCAATTACATATCCCCATATAGCCATATTAGGGGAGGGGAGCCCTAAAAACATGGTGCAAATGGACCCAACGCACTTAGCCTGGTGTCTGCATAAAACTGTACCCCTTTAGCAGACCAACTCCCCTGGCATGTTACCTACCTGTTTGGCCAATTTCTACTCTTTCCAGCCGCCTCTGAAGCCTGGTAGAGGCTAGGAGTGATTTGATGTGATTGGCTATAAATGCAAATTTTGGCAGAGCAGATTTGCAAGTTAGTTACTATTAGCAACTGTACTTGCTTTATGGACCCAATGCACTAATATGGGAAACTGAATATGCTGTAATTGCTATATTTTAGCTTTTAAACTGCCCCCCCCCCACACAGGTCGATGTTGACCCCTAACCCCTGACCCGACTAGCCTGTTGTTGTAACCTGACCCCGCCCATTCCGTGGTTCCCCAGCACTGCTCTGAAATGTTGTCACCCACATACACATGTTTGTGGCATTCTTAGGGCTGACGTCTACTAACATAATTCCAGTAGGTCACATAAACACACCACCCTGAAAAAATGCATCCAAACTAGTGATGCATACCTAAACCCAATTTTAGGTTCAGGTCCGGATTCAAGTCCAGAGGTTTAGGTTCAGGTCCGGACTTAAGTCCGTACCTAAACCCATGGTATATACAAAATTGCATGTTGGCAACCTTGCAATGTTGTCTGGGTGAAACTTTGGCCACATAACATGGAGGCCGGTACTTAACGATGCCCGATGGCAATGTTTTCTTCATTTTGCAGCAAATATTTTGCAATCTACGGAAGGTTTTAGATGGTTTGGAAAGAAAAGGGGTATGCGAAATGGTCTTTTATGGTAATAAGTCCGGACTCGGTTCTTGACTTTAAGGTTTTTTTGGACTTGAACCTAAACATTCTTACAAGTCCGGATCCAAGTCCAGTGAACCGGTATGCATCACTAATCCAAACACAATACAACGTCCCCCAGTACTAGTATAACACACTCCTGCATATCTTAACTGTGCATACCTGAGGGGTGCTGCACAGAGATATATCAATCACACTGTTTTTCACAGTGGCAGATGTAACGTTATGCAACCTGGTTAACAAATGGTGAATGCTGGTTATATTAGGTGAAATACCAGTATTCACAAAAAAAAGAATCAAGAATGCTTTCAGATATCCACAGTACCAGTTTTGCAGGTCTTTCACCACTGATACATTGTACTACATTTTTTTAGCAGAGATCTTGTTGTATTTAATAATTACACACCTCCTTGGCTATTGGCTCCAGGCCGCAGTCCTTATAAATCTTTAAGAAGTCCTCCTGTACTTCCTTGTTGCCGTTGGTTACAGACTTGCCGGGCGTGTTGGGGGTGCTCTTCATTGGGCTTCCCTGGCCTGGAGAAATTATATATACAGCATGGGGAATTAGACAACAACATATATCAATGTCTACAATTTGTTTGTTTGCATGAAGGTCACCTGTTTGGGGAGAGCAGAGCCACACCCCACACATGTCAAAGAACCCACCGCACTTATTGAAAAGAGTCGGTCCTTCCCGGTGTGAGTGGTTCAAACCTTACAGTCCGGTCTTATGCAGCTTGTGCTTACATGCACAAAACTGGTGTTACGCCTAAAAAAAGGTGGTTTACCGGTTATGCAAAACAAACAATAACTGGTAAACCACATTTAGGCATAACACACCAGTTTTGTACAGTAATTACAAATGGTACAAGACCAGACTGTAAGGTCTGAGCCACTCACACCAGGATGGATAAGACAATTTTATACCCTTGCTTGGCCAAATCTCTATGTGTAAAATGTCTTCAACCCTCTCAAAACATATCACTTGCTTTTATTTATTTGTAAACAACTTCAGGGTGAGAGCTTGCATTACACGGTCATCCTTTTTTATTGAGGTGTAAATTGTCTGACAACTGTAAACATCACTTTTACCACGTAATTTATAAAACAAAACCTTCTGGAATATCCTTGTTTGTGCCCACTTCATTTGCACATAGTTAGCACTTCAACAAGTAGTGTCCTCATAAACAAAGTCATTTATCTTACACACCCACACATAGCACCTAATGAGAGAGAGTGGGCATAAAAAAATGGAAAAAAGACCCCCACCCCCTACAAAAATTACCGAAACAGAAGAAATTGGTGGAAACAGATTTGCAGATGACGATTTGTCTGATCCCAGATCTTGGCCAGACTAAAATTCTTCACAAAAGCCGTGCCAAGGCCAGGAGATAGCTACAGCCTTGAGGCCACAACACTGGCAGGTGTGCTGACATCATGCTGGGATGGGCTGAGACAGTTGTAGGCTTGGGATTGGACATCTTCCCAACACTAAACTGCACAAGAAGACCACTCTGGGGACCATAATAAAAATCTGGTCTATGTGGACAGGCATGGGGAAAAATTTTTAAGTGGTCACATACAGTATTAGCCAGGTAGTCGTGTAAAGGTGGTCACTTGTACAGGTTTGACTGTATACAGTCAGTATAGCCAAAATACTACTGCAGATGGCTTTATATTGCGGTAGGCAAGAGGTCACCATGAAAATAAAACCACTCTGAACATTTCACGACTTGCCGCACCATTCAGATTCGTAGCAAGTCTCTAGCCAGATCAACTTTTTGATTCCAATACAGATCTAAGAGTTGGGTTATATACCACCCCCCTCCACAACTTCACAAAAAAAAAAAATAGAACCTCAAAACATACCTATCTAAAGGAATGCTGGAATGCATTATATATTATAATATGTAGCTAATAAAGCAATCAATTACATCTTTACCTGACGAACCCAAATGAAGAAATACAACAGTGTAAATAACACATTATCTTAATCCATTAAATGCCTTAATAATTACAACAACCCGTGTTGATCCCAGTGACTGGTTTGCCCCTAAACCCTGTATTTCCGCCCTAAAGATAAGGACATTGTCTTCAGTTAGGATCAAATGTTACCCCCTATAACACTACGTTTTCTATTGTTATACCAGAAAGGGTCAGCAACACATTTGATAGTTAGAGTAAGCTAATTTCTTCCCTATGAACTATGACCTTACATTTTATATGTGTAAAACCATAATCTCTGTAACCATAAGTAGAAATCTCTGGAAACAATAAAATTACTGGATAAAATTGGTGTTGCTGACGAGCGTAATCAAACATTTTAAGGGAAAAAGAGAAGGGAAACATTTTCTGAAATGCCCTTCAGAAATATGGTGGCAGTTTCTGCCAAACCGTTTATGCAAAATGAACTTTTATGTCCCAAGATCGTGCAATCTTAAAGACTCATTTTCACATCAAATTTCAAGTTTGCAATTGAAAAATTGCACAATTTTTTCCTGTTTTGACTAGGATGGCATACAGACATATTAGTGTGCAATTCCCAAGCAGATGTTGGGTTTGAAGACTATAAGGATTTTTTTAGTACCATGAGTCGCATGACAGCCACCAACCCACAACATCTACTATTTACTAACAGTGGGTGCAGGCAACTACACTTCTTTTCCAAAATGTTGTAGCTAAGCCAGATGAACCTAGTGGTTAGAAAAACGTTACAATATTCTAGCCAGCCATCTGCTTTGGGATTATTTGTGGGGAATATTATGTAGGGGACAGCTTGGCACGCAAACACGTCAAACCTGGACCCCATGGCTAGAAGTGGGGCATGGGTGGGGTGGGTCAACTTTCCACACCAAACACTCGCTAGCAAAATCATTATGTCACGTTTGTAAACGGTTCACCTACACGATCCTGGTCACAGACAGTCGCCAACATACAAATGTGAGCTAATTTGCATGTAAAATACAATATTTTCTTCAAAAACGCCACGATTTGGGGTATAAGTTTTGTTGCCATGCCTGAAAAAAAGGAGGGGGGGGGGTAGATTTAAATGGTCTCCATTCCGGACAAACATAAAAGTGACTGGCCTTCTGGGGCTGAATTTTATCTGCATAGCCGTTTTTCCAGTCAGATTTGGTGCGAGATGGCTGCATTATACATATTTGCTTTGATATGAGCATGATTTTTTGCAGATTTTGATTTAAATTGACTGAAATTGGAGAACTCTGAATGGAACAACGGTGGTATAGGCACGTGGCGTGACATAGAAAGGATCTGTGGGCAAAATGATCACTGAAAGCTGATAGGGTTTTTACCTAACCACGGCCTTTTCAATGAAAATCAACCAAACAGTACTAATCTATGCACTTTCCTTGCGATCATCCTGCAGAAAATCGTACAATCGGAGGTTTGACAGTTAGTTTTTAAAAGCCCCGAAAATTGGGGTCGAAAAAAAGTCCCATCCCCAACAACAAAAGAAGGGAGTTGTTTACCATCGTCCATCCAAAGGCTAGTCAGGGTCGCCCCTGAATTCGCCATTCTCAGCCGATCGGACAGTAAATAGTCCTGTGTAGTCTCCGGGTCCCTTCGACCATGTAAATGTCCGAGTTTGGGTCCGAATTCGTACTTATATCCACAGGTTCTTGACAGGCAACTCCACCAACAAACAAGGGCTGGGAAGGTAGAAAATGGCGACGATTCGAAGCCAAACTTCCGAGGTTTTGCCCAACTTCACTTCCAAGATCTGCGTCGATCCTTGCCGCAGCTGCAACCTGGAACGGTCGTTGGTCCTACTTCCACCACCACATGATGAAAAATTTACATATAACCGGAGGAATTTGGCCACAAATCCCGTGGAAAATTCTATCAAATTCCAGTGTTTTGGAAGTGAAAACGAGCTTGGCGGTGGCTAGCACAGCTGGGCAGTGATTGGTTACCGGTAAGTCACGTGGCCGACTCCCAAACTTTTGATTGGTCGAGTTTCATTCATATGACCAAGCTCGGCGCATGCGCAATCTCAAGGAATTTGTTTTCCTTTTCCAGTGTTTTGTTTTACCTGTTTACTTTATGCAGATTTTGTTTACAATACGCTACTTTGCGGTGAAACAGGTGTATTTCTCAAATTTGAGCCCTTTCAGAAAAAATTTCATAATTTCCGGCAAAGTTTACACCGGAAATGCACTGAAATAGGTACTATAAAAAGATTTACCTAGCAGCAATAAACATACCCAGCATGCATTGCTTGACAAAGTGCCAATCAAAGCTCCCAGCTCACTTTCATGAAAATAAATTATTTTTTAAAATTGCAAAGAGGAAACACTCTCTACAAGAGAGCCATATTCTTTCTGGTTACTGGTGATTAAAAATGTGGTAATAATTTTTAAGGAAAAATTTTTTTAGGGCAAAAATAATTGTCCTGTCCCCAAGTCAAAAACATGATGCACTCTGTTCAAGTAGGTTGCTCTGTTCTTGGTCTGTTCAACACCTATCGAAGATAAATGACGCAGTTACCTGATCCCTTTTTGGAGCTATCAATTATTCAAATGGGTAATAGACGAACATGGGCCAGGTATAAAAAATCAATGAAATCCTGATTTTATAACTCGTCTCCAAAACAAGGTTAACATTAACTTTTCTGATTAAAAATGTGAGAGTAAAAAAAACATTATACATCCACTGCTTCAACAATTTGCAACACTTGTCAAGTACTCTAAAACCAGAAAATTTTGCAATGGTTTTTATTTTGTGGTAGTAAGGAAAGGGTTTTACTTGACTTCATGGCAGAAATAATACTGTAGTACATATTCAGTGGAGGTCAGAGCAAAAATAAAACCACAAGTTTTCCACAATTTACGGTAAACTGAGACTTCTTTAGACTACACTGCAGGTAAATGATAGAGCATCTTTTTTTGTCTAGACTATCAAAGGTTTGTGGGAAAAGCAAGTAACTATTTGTAAACTAAAACAATGCGCCAAAATATGCGATACAAGAAGTTGAACAGGTTCTTTATTTGATGGGTACCTTGTATAACAGTCTTGATAATATAAAGACAAAATACAAAACACAGTATCTTATACTTCATGACCAACGAACAGTCAAATGACACAACAGGTAGCAGAAGTCAATGTTGAATGTGGCTTGTACAGTGTGTATTCATTTTCTACAAAAAAAAAAACCTCTTTAACTATTGAGACAACTCTTACTTCAAGCATGATAGGGTCCAAAACAGAATTTTCATCTCAACATCAACCTTGTCATTTTGTTAATATGATTTAATTAAGAACAAATTCATTAAGACTTCCCTCAAAAATACCTTCCAGACCAAAATACGCAAGTAGCACCTGAAGAGTCACAGGAAGTCAGTCAAAACAAAAAAATCTTTGAAAAAAAAAATGACAGTGTACAAGTATTTGAGTCACATTGAATTCAATGTATCAACATTACACCACATTGTGGTAACAACAACCAACTTTGTATTGTTGTTTTGTAACTAACTACATGTACACATACTAACTTATGGATCACAAATTCTGCACATTTACAAGCTGTAGGAACTGTCCTACTCAACATGACGTTTCGACTGAAGCTCTCTCCTGGTCTCAGTACACTATTTCAGGTCGTTTTTAACTTGGTGTCTTATACACATAATCCAATGACACAGAAATCAGATATACTAGTTACAACATACATACTGAAAGATAACTGTATCCTTCACATTACCTATATCTCGTCTTTTGCCATCGTCTAATTTAAACTTTTTAATTTGTCCACTCCCTTACTTGGGTCCTGAGATGGGGATACAGAACATGGTGTTTCTACTTCTGTAACTCTTTTTAAGTCTGAGTTTTCATCTTAAATACCAACCTTTTTTTTAAAGAAAACTAGAATGTGATAGCATGAGGATGGTAATGTTGTGGATGGTTTTTGATATCTATCTCATCTCTAACTTAACTTACATGTACACAATATTATGAATGCAAAACAAAGTATATGTACTCCCCTCAACAGTAACTTGCAAAGGACATTCACCAAACACTAACACAAGATTAGCCCTTAAACCCACATTCATTTCATCATTTTTGCCACATAAATTTGTTTCATCCTAACTTGAGATGGTAGAATCTGAGCAACTGATTGTAAAATCTGGATGAGAAGAAAATAAAAGTTGTTCTAATTTGTACAAACGTAGTTAAGTCTTCTAGACGGCACCAGATTTTAGTTATCGTTGTTCTTACTCACAGTCTTCTGCTTCAAGTCAACTACCTTTCAACTTCTTTAGTCCATTTCTAAGCAATTTACTTCTGTGACTGCATCAACATGTTAAGTCCAGGGAACGCTATTTGCAATTGGACTGGTCAGAAAAGCAGGTTTCTGTTACGATATTGAACACTTGTACAACCACAGAACTGCATTAGAACCAACAGGTATGACTGCAACCGAATATGGCATGGAATGACTGAGTGTCTAACAAATCAACAGTTTTCAACAGTTTCTTCAATGTTAAGAATCGTTGCAACCCACAAGAAAGACCAGATTCTAAACTCTCTATTGTAAGTACAAAAACTCACTAGTCTACTATATACAGTGGTCCATTGGATCTTTACTTCAGTCGATCCTTTTTTTCAAGTTTCATACATGCAATTCATGTAATGCAGCAATTAATCAAGTTCCTCACCTACTAAATTATGGATTTCATCTACATCATGAAAAAAATTTCACCATTTGATGGAAAATGTGTATTCCTGCTTTGTTTTTTTTCCTATCTGTTCAAGTTCTGCTCTTTCATTGGCTGGAACAGAGCCAAACCATTTGGGGATTGGTTAATTTTCAGATTTGAAATATTCCTGCATTCTGATTGGTTGCAGATATTCTCTTGTAGTTGTTTTTGTTTTTTGCATGTTTGTTTGTACATTTATACAAAAGTTGTGACAGGGCGAAAGAGGGTGGGAGAGTAGATTTTAACTTAAGGAACAGTTTGATGAAGAATTGCTTCAAAACGAGAGATTTGCCTAAAATGAGGGGCCCGTGATCTAACATCTTTGTGCTTTTGACAGGTAAAGAAGTTAACAGCAATACCGAGTGTAAAATTGAATTTAAATACAGGATATGTCTATATTCAGGCTGCCCTATCTACAAGCATTATTCTACTAATTTTTTGTCTATCTGATATAGATCATAGCAATATAGACAAAATGATTCAACTCATAGGCTAGCCCTACTCCAAAGAGATAATACACTGCTTAACAAATTTGAAACCCGACTGGAAAACTTTGCACATATAGTCGAGAAGATAGCTGGCACTGCCAGCTTAGGTTTCTTTCTTTTTATCTCTTTACACAGTTGTCTCCGCATTCTTCTTGTTTGTTCCAGTTCTGGATTCCTTGAGCCTGTTTCTTGGGGACTCCCTGGAATTGCAACCTTCTTCAGAGCCCCGACTGTAGCAACAAAAAGGAGAAGAGACATGTTGCAATGTTCACCAGAAAATGTATCAGAATAGTTACAAGTAATAGGCTACAACAACACTATATGATTTCTTGCTGTAAAATTCATATCTTCAATAATACACCAAAAGAAATGAATAGGTCTTGACTTCTGATTCTAATAGCCATTGGGTAAATGGCCATTCTAGTTTTAGGTTTAACATTATTTTGTGTTTATCAAAACCTTAAATTCCTCTGGATCAAAGTAAGCTGCTTGTATGCTGTACACCTTTTGCAATGATGCGCTGTACTGGTGCTACTAAACTGAAAAGTTGGGCTGCAAATGATATTTTCTTAAAATCTCTTTTCTCAATTGATAGAATACAGTTTATATTGCATTCAGACTAAGACTAGAAGATCAATGATATTTCACCCTTTGCAGTCAACTATGTCAGTTTACCAGTACCAATTTTCTGCACACCTACATGTAGGAACCCTTAAAGAGCATGTTCATACAATCTATAATAATTAACACCCTACAACAAAAGGTTAGCATGTCCCAACGGGAAGGAAAAAATAAAGAACAAATCACCAACTTCCTGTGGTCTGAAACTGAAGGGAGAACTGAAAACAACTCAGGGAGGAAGAAATGAAAAGATGAGAGGGTAAGGAACCTGAACAACCATTCTTTCTGAAAAACAAAACAGAGTGAACCAAGAACAGAACCATGAGAACTGAACCGTGTCCCCAAAACCAGTTAGTGTGGGCTAGCATGGGCAAACTTTCCTTCTTTAGTTAGTTCGCAAGTTTTCAGGCAGTTGCTAATTCTTTAAAGTGTATCCAATTTCTTGTTTCTTAACTGAATTTCAAATCTGGATAGCTAGATGTTCAATATTTCTATTTAGAACAGAGTATTCATATGTATATATATCTTAACTTTAAGCCCTCACAATTTCTTCAGTCTGTCTTTTTGTTTGTTTTTTTACAAATGTTGTGGAGGAAAGGTTGCCATATGCTCCCCACAGTCGACCCTACCCTACCACTCACAGAAAAGTCCCCAATATCAGGTGACGATGTGAACAAGTTGTCAGGGAGGTTCACTATCTGTTGTGCCATGTCGACTGGGCTGGACTGCAAACAGAGTGGACAAGTTCTGCCGAGTTACTAACTAGGAACTACAGTAGGATGTAAGGATTTTTTCATGAGAGAACAGAGAAGGATGGAAGGAGTGCGTAGTCATCAGTGATCTTGTCGGAGAAAGAGAGAGGTCAGTATAGACACATACAAATGTATGGACAACAGGGAAAAGTGTATACACCAAGGGGATAAAGGAAGATGGTTAAACATGCTGTGCAGAGCGTTTTCACTCAATTTCATATCAATGAAGCAGACAAGCTGCTGACGGCCCCTTGTATTTAAATGGATCGTAGCTTAAGAAATTTCTTTTCTTTGATCTGCAAGGTTTTAAGTCTTCTTCTGTTATTCTTCTTCGACAGTTTGAACTATAGTGGCCACCAAAATGGCAGCAGACATATTGTTGACACAGAGTGAAAACACTCTACAGGCACCAAACAAGCAAGGAGCAGAAAAGACAAGGGAAACTTGACATTCAAACAGGTACACAAGGAATCAGAGGATATGGAGAAATAAGTAGTTTGGTACCATACTGTAAATGCACTTACTTTTGCTGTGGTTTTATTTTTGCAGTGTTCATGATGTTCTCTTACTCAAAATCATGCCATTTTATTGTACTGCAGAATTCTTTTTCATCATAAGGCAAAATAAAACCATTGCAAAAGTAACTGCATTTCCAGTAACTTTACAGATATTAGAGGAGTCTACAACACAGCCAGGAGACCCCACCAGTGTAGTGACAGGTACAAGAGTGTGACTCACCTGTCCGATGTGCATGTCACTCGTATCAAAGTCTGCGATATCGTCCTCATCCCCACTGTCATCCGCCTCCTCTGGTTCAGGTTCTACTGGCATCTGTTTACCCCTGTTGGAAAACAAGTAATGATTTATAAACAATTTGATTTTCATGATTTGAGTACTATAAATGCAGCACCAGTTCAGTATAGGAGTCATAACTATTACCCCTGTTGGTAAACAAGCAGGGGAATAAGCACAATTTGAGTCTCATGATTTGAGTACTATGAATGCAGCACCAGTTCAGTATAGGAGTCATAACTATTACACCAGTTGGTGAACAAGCAGGGGAATAGGCACAATTTGAGTCTCATGATTTGAGTGCTATTCAGTACCGGGCAATAGGTCATAGGTCTATGTACAGGAGCCATAACTGTTTCAGTATCTCAAAGATGAATTGAAACTCTACTACTGAATAAGATATAGAAATTATTACTGGACGTTTCGAGAGATATGCCAGGTGGATTATGATAAGTAGAGACACTGGGTTTTAATCAACTTTACTGGTGTAAAAATATCAAGCATATATACATGTCCAGCAAAGTTACTTACCCATGGTGCTCTCCACTACAATGCAAGCATAGTAGAGAACAAGGAAATCAAATGGATGTCATGACTACAATGACTGAAAACAGTGAAAAGTTCACACTTAAATAGCTTCTGTGTATTGACATGTAACTTCTGTGTCCATAATATCACCAGGGTCCATAATATCGCCACCTCGAGAAATAGTGTGCTTAAAGATATTTTTACTGCAACATACCCTAGGTATGTACATTTGAGGTGTGCAGGAGTGCATACCAAAAGTATTTTGCAGTAAAAATATCTTTAAGCACACTGTTTCTCAAGGTGGCGATATTATGGACCCTGGTGATATTATGGACACAGATGTTAACTTCATTCTCTCTTAACAAATAACAGTAAAGCTTTATGTAGTATTCAGGCTAACTCCAGAATAAAATTCAGGCTAACTACATGTACTAGAGTAAACTCTCCAAGAAGCAGAACTGTGATCTTTACCTGCCCCTTCTGCCATGAGTTGTGTAGCTGATGTTGGCACGTCCTTTCCGACCGGAGTCGTGGTGTCTGACCTGCGCCCACGAACCCTGCGACAGCGCTGGCTTGCCGGTACTACAGAAACATACACGAACATCGATTGTAAGCTTCTTAACTTTTGTGATTTAATGTTTGATACTTTCTACTTTCTGGAGGTTACCATCACACATTTTTACACTTAGAATTGTCAGACCTTGAGACATATTGGCTATTCAGTGCTAGAGGCATTACGAGACACATTAACGAAAGTATTTTTGGTTTTCGAGCTTTTCAAGTTCTTCTAGATTTTTGTTTGGCGTTTTGACCTCTTGTTATTCTATCAATCTAGCCCACGTGCTGTCAACCTATTCTCAAGTTCACCCCATTTCCTGAGTTTGATCTTTTGATCTGTCATTCTTCCTGTCCATCTTCCCCCAACCCACATGCTGTCAACCTACTCTGTCCAGACAGTCACACAGCTAAGTAAGTTGCTTTTAATTCTATACCCAGAAGTAATAAACTAGAGACACTGATACACAGACATTAATGATAACGTACTGCTCAAATTCTCTCTCCGACCCCTGTTCTGATTCGTCCCTCTCCGAGCTCTGTTCCGAGCCTTCCTCCGGGTCCAGTCTTCTCACACACACACACACACACACACAGCATAACCACCCAAAACCATACTTCCAGAGACACTGATACACAGACATTAATATTAACGTACTGCTCAAATTCTCTCTCCGACCCCTGTTCTGATTCGTCCCTCTCTGAGCTCTGTTCCGAGCCTTCCTCAGGGTCCATCCTTCTCCTCTTGACTGCTGTGGACTGATGGAGGGGCTGGCCTGGGCGGGTGGGCGTCTTACCGGCAAAACTTTCATTCGCTGCAAGGGCAACAAAAAACAACACAAAATCAACAGATGTTAAACAGTCCTATTTATAGTACCAACATTGTATAACAGGAAAATATAATTAAACAGAAAACACAAGTTACAGTATCTTATCCCTGACCTAGACTGGGATAATGTACACATCATATGCAATTTTTGCATTTAGATCAATATTGTGAAGACCACCAATTCCTATACAGCAACAACATAACAACTCTGAAAGAGACAATCATTGTAGAGAACAGGTAAGTTTTTAACAGCCAACGGAACAGAACAGCAAAAACCGGCTGTGCTTTAGGTCACTCCATTTCAAGAGTTTCAGAATGAGAAATGGAATCCAAAATCCATTTACTCAGTGAAAATCTATCCAATGAATAACTGTTCAGTATTGAAAAGAAGTGTTGATAAATTTTAGCCTCCCCAAACTGAAACTCTTTCAAGAGAATAACCCCGTAAGCAGGCTACTTTGCATCCAGCTGTAATTCTCAGCGTCTCTGAACTCCCAGTCCCTCCTGGAGGTTGGTCTTGGCTGTACAACCCTGCTAGAACTCCTGCCCCTGGCTGGCTTCTTGTCTGAAAATATGTTGGTAAATGTCTACAATGTACGGTGGTCTGAAAATGTTGGCAAATGTCTACAATGTACGGTGGTCTGCAAATGTTGGCAAATGTCTACAATGTACGGTGGTCTGAAAATGTTGGCAAATGTACAATATACAAAATGTACGGTGGTCTGGAAATGATTGTAAGACACTGTTCCTTCAGGTTCTGTAACCAACAATGGCTTCTTTCTTTCTTTCTTTCTTTCTTTCTTTCTTTCTTTCTTTCTTTCTTTCTTTCTTTCATTGAGGCCTTGTTTATTCAAGAAATTGGACACTTTTCACTGAGGCCATCATGAGGGAAGAAGTCAGGGTAAGACAAAATATAACAAGATACAGGTAACATGAGTGAAGTACTACCAAATCAATAAATGTATGATCAAAATAAATCCTTAGACATATATTATATAAATGGTGTTACGAAAACACATCAAACAAACTAAATGTTGGCATATTGTCCATCTTTGTTCATTTTCTGGCTAAAATTTTTATCATACATGGACATGAAATAAATCACACTGGAGCAACTGGTTTTCCTTCTACAGGTTCTAATCTTAGGATTAGAAGGAAGGCCAGCAGCAACATAAATAATTCAAATGTTGAATACACTTGGGAACATCGTTGGAAATGTAAGGAAGGCCACCTAGCCAGTGTACACAGGGAGGGCTCGAAATAGCAAAAAATCCCCCCCTCGCAGCCCTCAAAACTCAAACGAACGAACGCTGTTGAGTGAAACAAACTGAAGGTATTAACCATTGTTAGTAAATGTTGTGAAATAACATGAACTTGAACAGAAATAGGACTGAAAAATTGCAATGAGGCATTAAGCTGGTCCTACAATGTACTGTGGACTTGAAATAAATAAAACATTCCCCCCTCCAAGACTGAAACTTCATTGAAAAACAAATGCTTTTGAATGAACCAAACTGATTCAGAAGGTATTAACCATTGTTAGTAAACATGAACTTGAACAGGAACAAAATATCAATGAGTCATTACTGCTGGTCCTCCTGTTTATTCCTGTGCTCTGTCTCCGAGTTCTGGTACTGGATGATCGTCGTCTGCCTCTGCCTCTGTACGGGGTGTCATCGACTGTGGAAAGTATCAAGTGAGCATTCAAACTACACTGAATGGAAAGACATGTGAGTAAGTGAGTCTAAGAAAAATCTTGACAATTCCTTTTTCATTTGATGAAGGATTAGGTTATAGAAAAGTTTAAAGTTTAAGTTCACCTCTTTTCACCCGTCATTTTGCCTGTGAATCTTCCCCCACACCCATGTGCTGCCAACCTACTTTACCAGGCACACAAATCCACAGCTTAGCCACCCAAAACAGTACTTCTGTACCTAGATCATAAAGTTTGATGTACATGATCTGTGGAGTCAACCACCAAGAACAGAAGTTTGCAATACAATAACGTAATGTTTATGGATAAAAAAGACTATGTGACACTACCTTCCATGGTCAGCTTTTTCCTGGCAGCCATCTCGGTCGGACTCTTGCCTCCCTTCTTTCCGTGGCCTCGGATCCCCCTGGCAACGACCTTTGACCCGTGCTCTCCCTCCACCAGGCTGCTGCGGTAGGTCACCAGTGGGTACCAGGGGTCGTCTTTTCTGTTCAGCATTCCCGGCCTCAGTTTGCGGTCCAGGTAGTTCAAGCTACCAATGGGAGAAAGTTTTCATCATTAAACTTTTACTTTTTTGTTTTCATTTATAGTGGTTGCGTGGTAACGTCTCTTTGCAAAGTCATAGCACCAGAAATATACCCTAAAAGAAAGTAGACATTTCAGATGAGGGGTCGTCTTTTCTGTTGAGCATGCCCGGCCTCAGTTTGCTGTCCAGGTAGTTCAAGCTTTGTAGAAAGGAGAAAGTTTTCATCAGTCGTCAAATAGTTTATTGTATGCCATTGAACTTTCTCTTAATGGGTGTCTGTATCTGTATCATTATAGCCGATATAACGGCCATTCGGCGAAACACATCAGCTTCTGTATCAGTATAGCCGGTATGACCGCCCTTCAGCGTAACACACCAGCTCTGCAGGCACTTTGACATTTAATTGCAGGAGTTGTTTAAAGCTTTCTTACTACATGTAGCATTTACTTTTTCGTGTTGGAACAAAAGTTTTACCTTCAAACACGTAACTACCAACACTTTCATGAAGTTGATTAAATATAGCTGAAGTGTACTTCTATAGCACAAATAGAGCTGATTCCAGTGACAGCTTACTTACTTACAAAGATCCTTTGTTAAGAGAGCAAAATCTAAAACACGATGTACTTACATGGTTTTGCGATCAAGCTTCATGAGCTTGGGGCTGAACTCTGCCAGGATCTCCAGGAAGCTTAGATGGGGAGGTGGCCCTTCAGGGTCGTTAGGGTCGTCTAGCGGGGTGATGGCAAACACTATCCCCTCCCTGAGATGTAAGACACAACACAGACAGGTTTGTACAACATGGTTCTACTGTCACTTGAAGCTTAAAGGCTGGATAGAAGACTGGTGGAACGATAATTGTAAGATGTATGTGACCAGTTATGTGTTTGGACAATGTTGCTCCCATAATGTAAGATGGGAGCAACATTGTACAAACAAATAACTTTATGCTGGTGTCCCAAAACTGTCTGACAAGATAAGAGCCATGCACAGCCGTTTGCCGGAAATTCCCTCAGAAACAAGGAAGTGGTCTCCAACTTAGTGCTATTGTCTCAGGCATATGGGAGAGGAAGGCCGGAAAGACCACCCCTCACATACATAGATGTGCTGGAAAGAGACAGCGGTCTACAGGCAGATGGCAAAGGGAAGGCTATGCAGGACAGGAGCTACTGGGCTGCCATGGTGGTTTGGGTGGCAGAGGAGGACTGGCACCCGACATAAGTCAAGTAAAAAGCCCCAGTTGTACTGTGCAAGCATGTCTAACCCTTGGAAGATGGGGAACAACAGACGGTAAACCGGACAGTGAGTGAGTGAGCGAGTGATTACTGTAATTCAAGTAAGTCATGTGAAGGTATACCGACCTGTGAATCTCTGCAACCGCCTCCCGTGTCTTGGCTGGGTCCAAACCAAAGGTCAGGGAGAACCGTCTCGCCAGCTCCTGGAGGGCAGGTTCAGGAGAAGACAACAAAACGTCATCATTTAGCATGGAAACAACTAAATTTTATCACAAAATGAGTCTTCTATGACCTTAACAACTTTCCTTTCTACTGGAAAATAAAACCTTGCAAATTTCATGATTCTCGGTAATATGCAGTGCATAAGAGGGAATCATGTGGCGTAATGGTCAGAGCAATTCAACTTGGAACCAAGAGGTCCCGAGTTTCGATCCCCAGACATGCTCCATGGAGTGATGCCCATCGGGCCTTTCGAGTAATCGTTAATATAAATTATATATTACGTACTTGTGTCCAAACACTGATGAGGACACACATGGATTTAGTGTCACCAAAGTGCCAAGAACTGCAAATTTGCCACTAAGACCGTACAATTTCTTTCTCTTTTTAAGAGGGAATGAATACCTTGATAGACAGGAAAGTCTGTGACGTCCTATCAAGCGGCTGTTGAGATGCTTTGACTTCTGTGAAGAGCTGAGTGAGTGCGAGGTTTAGAGTCCTGGCTGTGTTGACTTTGTCCATCTCTCGAGCCTTGGACAGGGTGGTCTTGATGATGTCACCGTAATCATTATAGTACTGGAAGGGAAAGAAAAAACTTTAAATGTGCAAACATAGCATAATAATTGCCCTGATGAAGATAACAGACAGTCATCGAAATGTCAGCTCTTGTTGTTTAACGTTTTAAAGTGGTTGTTAACATAGCACTTTGATATTCAATCAATCAATCAGTCACCAACCTGATGAAATTATCTATAGACAGTATCATATGATGTGATTTAATGGGGTATTACACCATTTTTTTTTTATTGTCATGTTCAACCACAAATATATGTAAAGGGAAACATGCCCTTCCAACTGACAAGTGTAATTTAAGCTGCACCTTGTGCAACCAAGTGCATGTACAAGGCTTAAAGTTCCTTGAATTTTTAACCTCTCCAAGTCTTTTTAACCAAGTGACTACACTAGTTGTTGGTTCACACTTACTTTCATGTAGTGTTTGAAGATGTCTGCGGCAGTTTTGATGCTGACCATGTTGTAGACCACCAGTTTACAGTAGCCGGCCAGCAAGTTTCGCCTCTTGTGTAACGCCTCGATCTTGTTGGCTTCATCATCTTCATCATCTGAGACATAAGATATCATATTGTCATGTTGAGTTTAATACAAGAGGCTGAAATTCTTCTCGAACAAAATGTCAGTGCAGTTCCAAAGCAAGCTGCTATTTCCACGTTATTTCCATCCATGCATAAAAGCTATTGACCACCCAAAAATCATAAGAAGAGCATGCCCAGAACATATGAAAATGTGCAGTGAAAATAGTCCAGTGGTTAGCAACTGTGCCTCTGGACCAAGAGGTTGGGAGTTCGAATCCCAGCTGTTGTCGCTCACCCAATATGCATGCTACTATAAAGGGTCGCAGTCCTTAGGACTAAGCCGTGTTCAACTATGCAATGTGCTTGACGAAAAAAGCTACAGGAACAATGAACCTGCAAATACTGTACATAGCCTCTGATTTCTTTGTTACAACCCAGTTGGAGAGTCAGTGAGCTTAACCAGTATCAAGCTCACTGTCTTATTTTTACATACCGGTTGGTTGGTGTTCCTCCTCCGGCCCAACAAACACCCGTTCTGTGAGCAGCGAGGTGAGTCTGATCTCGGTTATGGGGTCCGGGTGGTGGATGAGCGGGTTCATCACGGGATTGGACGCCACCTGTAGTATATAGAATGGTTTATTATTACTATTAAACTCATCGCAGCTCACGAGCTGGATTGCGAGTTCATGTACATATACAAATTTTGACAAATTGACATATACAATATATTAATTGGTCTAAAAGTTTACAAATGGCGAGCAGGTGACAATACATATTTAAAAGATACAATACATACTTAGATTAGAAGATACAAAACATATTTAAAAGATACAACACATATTTAAAACATACAATACATATTCAAAAGGTACCAATTAATAATCTAAATGCCATTGTTTAACAGGTTTACGATATATTACGGTAGAGGACTATTACGGTAGAGGTAAGGCTTAGTACCTGTCGTGCGAAGACCACCAGGAGGTCCACGATGGACATGAAGGCTTCCTCCTGAATCGTCGGGTCGACCACGTAACCCTCCACCAGCTGACTGCTCAGGTCCAGAAACGTCTTCACACAGTTGTTGATTGTCCTGATATCATTCTGCAAACAAAAACAAAACAGTTATGAAGGTTCATCTGTATTGATACTTACTGGTTGAAGTAAAAAAAAAAATTTAAACATTTCTTCAAAAAAGGCAAAGATGGCAGACTTCATCCCCTAACCCATATTGCTTTCAAACCTTTCCTATGCCAAAGACTGCCCAAAAAACTCAACAGATTCAGCAGCCAGCTTCTGGGACCTGAAGCCCTGTGTCTGGCCTTTTGTGGACTGTGGTTAGATAATTCCCCTCACCTATGTGCTATCACTCACAGTGCAAACACGTACATACATACAAACACACACACACACACACACACACACACACACACAAACACACACACAAAATCATATGAACTATACACTTTGCAATTTTACACTGTATCACTGCTTACTTATGAATGAATAAGTACCTTGTCTGGGTCGTGTTCATCCAGTCTAGAGAACCTCCACATGATGTCCATGTGTGCACAGGCGATGGAGCGGACTAGGATCTGGGGAAGGAAAAAAAAATAAAAATCCTTGGGTAAAAATATAAAAAACATCTGAAGGACCACTGTCAATCACTTTCAACCCCATCATTTGCCTCTAAAAATGTGGGAAATTGTGTTTTTGAAGGCTTGAAACATAATTTCAAGGGGGAGGATGGCCCTGGAACCCCCCACCTTGGGTGCTAGATTCGAATTTGAACTGACGAAAAAAATTTCGAGCTGGCTAGAGCTCTGGACCCCATTAATTAACTGTCAATATCACCTCCCACCAACCATAGTTGGACAGACAGACAGACAAACCAACAGGAGCAAAAGGAAACCCACCTCCTGTGGAATGTAGGATTTGTCGTTGGCTGTCTTGATGGTGAAGATGAACTTCTCGAACAGGTCGTAAGCGGAGAGGTCGTGACATTTGTAGAACTCCATCAGTCTTTTCTGTGCAGACGTCACGTTAAACACATCGTCCTCATCTGCTTCTTCACCCTGAGGGAGGGAAGGAAGGAATTAATGAATGATGGATGGATGGAAGAGAAGAAGGAAGGGAGGAAGGAAGGAAGGAAGGGATTGAATGAAGTATATATTGACAAGAAGAAGCCAATAAATTTCTTTCTTACACCTAACTTCAAACCAATTGAAAAGGAAAAATATCAGTAACAGGAAATCAGAGATTCCAGAAGTATTATGGATTTTTGTGACTTGCAATTTTACCCCATTTCCTGTATCTGACCTTTTGATCTGTTGCACTACTTGTCAATCTTTCTCATCCAAGTGCTATCAACTTGATCTCAAGTTCAAACTGTTTCTTCTGCCTACTCTTTGACCTGTCGTGTTGCCTTTCTATCTTCCCCCACCCATGTGCTGTCAACCTACTCAGTCAGAACATAACATACAAACACACAGTGCAGCTTCCCAAAACAATACTTCCTAGCCTGAAAGTTAATACTGTATAAAAACTGGTACCTCTTGGAAGAATGTGTCCAAACTCTGTTTGAACTTCTGTACCAGAGCGTCGAACAGACCACTACGAGACACCATGGCCTTGGTGTGGATGGGGTAGTCTTCACTGCACAGGACCATAAACGACTTACTGCACTCCTCTAACACCTGTGCACATGTCAACATGTCAGAACTAGACATCTTAAAGTAAACTTCTTCAAGATTCAATAATCTACTTGTAAACTACAAGTGTAACAAATCATTTTTACTAATCATGTTTTGCCTAAAAGTAGGTTTAACAGTTATGCAAATCAACAAACAAACCTCCTGTTCTGCATGTTTCTCGACAATGTCCTGCATGTGCTTCAGGAGAAGATCCAAGTACTGAAAGCAACAGAATGTTTTTTTTTACACTCAAGCAAAAAATAGAATATACATGTACACATTGGTCCCATCTTACACTAAGGTGTATGACGTAAGAATGAGTGTTTGTAAAAGGGAAATACAGGTTGTATCAGACTACCAAGTTCAGCTATCTCTCTGTTGTATAATTTACATTCTATTTCAAAATGTTGCTCATCTTCGATTCTTTCTAGATCACACGTTGTCGTTCCAGGGGAGTTATGTCAATGGTGACCATGATTTGTGAAGAGAATGTCTAGTTGTTGCTGTGTGCTCACCTTTTCCAGCCTACTTGTTGTGTAGACCTCCAGATCAAAGTACTGAGGGATGGACAGCAGGTTGATCACCTTGTCTGCGTCTACAGCATACTGCATGGAAAGGAGAAAACCATGGTACATTCAAAACTTTGGTCAATTCAGACATCCATATAGAGAGCAGCAAGAAATCAAAGATTTCAGACTGCCGGGAAATATTTTGGGTATTCTTAGACCTCTGGTAAGTGTTTTTGGAACTGAGGAGGGGATTATATGATACATTATATTATGATATTTCATTTCTTTTTTAAGTGTTTAGAGATTGCAGAAAAGTTAGAAAGCATCTTCAGGTTGCTCACCTTGCCTAAAAGTGCTGGCAGTGTCTGGATGAGGTGCTCCGTAAGTTTGACTTTATCGTCATAGATTTGCTTCTTCTCCCTGTTTGTCTGTACCTGCAGAACAGCAAGAAAAAATATAAATAATCAAGATCTACAATGCAGGTGTACATCTTCATTGTACATACCATTGACGAGTTAAGAAGTCTGTAGTGGGCCTAGACATCCTGGCATTGTAGCATCCAAGCTTGTCCTTTGGGGACCCACAAAAGGCCAAAGAAGTCGAGGGAGACCAAGGATTAACTTCATTGACATGACAGAAGTAAAGGAAATCCAGTCTCTGATGGAGGATACACTGAAGTGGAGGATGGTTTCAAGTTTGCTTTGAGTGGGAGCTCAGCCAAAGTAAAGTAAGTACATGTATAAGCCAGCACGTCGGCAGAACGTACTGCACCTGCGTGAAACCCGTAATGTATTATGCATAGCACTTCGGTAGAACGTCTCATATAAGGTTGTATTCGCGCATATAAGGTTAACACTCCGTCAGTAGTTTCCAAATGTTATGTCGGAAAAGATATCTTCTGCAACAGGCAAAATTTTGATGCAACGTTGACCAAAAATCCACTGAAAACCGTGAAAATACAGGGTTCTGCGCAAGCGTAGTACGTTCTGCCAACGTGCTGTATAAGCCCACCTTTTTAGCGCTGGCCCTGCCGATGGGGGGAATGCCCTCAGAAGCCTGCCGGATGCAGCAGGTCATGATCTCCACCAGGGAGGTCTCCTGCTGGTCCGTCAGAACTGGAAAGGGGAAAACATTTGATTTATTATAAAGTATGGAGCATGGGAGAGATTATCAGTGACGTCCTTCTCTGGCCACCTAAACATGGGCATACTAGTGTAGCAGACCTTGCATAACCTACACATAAACCAACTGTGAACTTTCCATGAAAGGAGGCGGTCTAGATTAAAGCTCACAGACCTACCCTGAACAGAGACGGGAGCAACACAAGTTATCTGGCACGTATGACCCGCTACTACGGTCACGTGTCTCTGGCGTCACATTCCAAGAGTAGACAGGTCCATTTCGTGAACAAAGTTGATGGACTTACCCAAAAAATTGGGTAAGTCCCAATTCATCCGTGTTGGAGCTTAGATGACCTTTCATTATAGTATTGATATACTTAAAGGACCAGTAAGAGTAAAACGTACCTTCCTCTCCCCTGCCAGGCTCCTCAAGTAGCAAGTCTGTCATGCACTCCCAGTCCTTCAGCATCTCATTCGTCTCCCACAGGCTATCTACTAGGTACGCTGCATGTTCATGGAGCTGTAAGGGGTGAAAGAGCAAGGACTTAGAAGAAGTTCCTGAACTCTTGGCAATTCTATGCAGGTGTCCCTTAATGCTAGGTCACCTTCCAGCTTGACTTCCCTGTCAATCAACTATCAAAATCCCCTCCCACCCAATCCAATGCTATTGGGCTGAGCAATATGAAAGATGAGATGACCCACCATGGAACTGTAGCTATTAGGACAAGCAGAAACAAACCAGAAACTCCTGCTTCACTTCCCTGTCAATCAACTTTCAAAATCACCTCCACCCACCAATGCAACCATAGCTATTAGGACAAGCAGAGACAAAACCCCACAATTCAGCTACATAAAACAAAGATCCTGCATTTTTACGATGTACAGAAAATAATTACACATCTAGCGAGAAACCAAGACCATAAATACCTCGCTTTCTATGAAGAATTGCACGAGGTCCCGTATGAGTGTGGTGTTGGGACTCCTCTTCTTGCCTCGCTTGGTCTTGAGCTGTTTCCCCGAGTCGTCCTGCTGGAAGAGTCGCTTGTTGAGGAACTCTCCTGCTGCCTGGGCCACGGCACGGTGCGAGGAGTAAACCAGCTGGTACACATTCTCACAGTCCTCACTGGTCAGGATGTCATCATTCATACTGGGGGGAGGGAAGGAGAAGGTTTCTGTCAGAAAAGTTCTGCAAAGTTTACCACTCAATAACTTACTTCTGTATTAGACCATGAATAGTTTCATCAGGTTTGTGAGTCACTGAATAAAGACTCTTTTTACCCAACCAGGTGCTTTTTCAACCAACATTTGATAAACTTTGTACTACTGTAAATGTATGGTATGGCGAATAATAGACTATTCATTTTCATTTCTTCACATTTTCTTCTTTTCCTTTGGATTTGATTTTGGCATTCTACGACATTACCAGTAGTTTTCCAATATTGTTTTGCAATTTAAGGAATTTCAAATTTTGTAGCTGCATAGAAAGATTACAAGGTAGGGTTGAGACCTTTTTTCGGTAACAGATGAAAATTCATGCACATGCAGATGTCATCCACATAGTCAAATCAACACGGCCTAACTTCATTAAAGCCAAGACAACATTATGTTCCTCACATCATGGTGACGAGTTTGATAGCCTGTACGGAGACGTCCATGTCCTTGTCCAGAGTCATGGAGACGATGCGATCCTTGAAGCGATTAGTGAAGAGCTCCAGCTTCTGAGCGTTTTCCTTGTTACAGTACAGAGCCTGCAGGGTCGAGATGCACATCTTACGCACCTCTCCTACCTGGGGGGAAAGAAATGGTACGGTTCTTAGTAAGCAATGTGCAGATTTTGGCACATTGGCAACACCAAATCCGTCTGTGTCTTCTTCAGTGTTTGGACATAGTATTGACAATTGGCCGAAAGGCCTGGTGGGTGTCACTCCACCGTACAGGGAGGGAAGTCATGTAAAGTGCCTTTCCCAAGGGCACATCAGGTCAGGAAATTGAAACCGGGACCTTTTTATTCTGACCATTACGCCACACAATGACACTTAAAAATGGTTAAGAACTAGAGTAATACAATACTTGCAAGCAAATGCAGCAAATGTCACAGTACTTTGGCAACAAAACCTAACAATATCATGATTCCATCAGCCCCTAGAAGCTTGATCCCCAAAACCTCTAAGTCAGGAGAATTGGGAACATCTAATCCTATTGATATATGCATATGTACAAAGTTAACATGGACCGACTATTGTCAGACTGAGAACTGTTTGTTACCATAGTGTTGGAGGCTGTGATGAGTGGTTTCCATAGTGACAGAGAATACTGAGCTCCTATTGGACTGATTTTTACACTGATAAAGAATCCCGAGCTTCTATTGGTAGTTCTGGGAATGGTTAGAGGTGTATGGCTACAAACTCCCAGGGAGGAGACCCAACTACTGACCTTGTCGTGCAGAGTCCATCCGACATACTTCAGGTAGCTGTCAGCCAGGAAGGTGTCTGAGTACTGCCTCATCCACGTGCCAATCTCCTCCATACAGATGGCACGGATCTCAGGGAGGGAGTCCCTGAGAGAAAGACAGAAAGTGATATCAATCAAGTCTTAGCTCACTGAAGAGCCTATCTTCCACTGGTCATGGCAGTGGCATGGTGGCTTTGAAAAGGTGTCTTAACATGAACACCTGTAAATATCTTCTCCATACATGATGGCACGGATCTCAGGGAGAGGGAGTCCCTAAGGAGATGCACAGAAAGTGAGACATCAACCAACTCTTAGATCACTGCAAGGGTTGCAACAGAAAAGACTGATGATATGTACAGTATTTACAGGTTCACTGTACCATGGAAATTCCCCTGGTGCTTTTTCGACATGCACAATGAACAATAGACCACAGCTTAACAAACTTTTCAAGAGGCATGCATGTTGGGTGAGCAACAAAAGCTGGGATCCAAACAACCAGAAAAGAGATGCTTCTGGAAACTGAGGGTTCAAATTCAGTACTTAGTTTCACCTGAGTTGACTCAAGATATTAATGTAAAGTGCCTTTCCAGGGACAAACACTGGGACCTGCTAGAGATTCAAACCCAGAACCAGAAGTCAACCACCATGTCTTACCTGTATCTGTGAACAAACACTCCCTTGAAGATGGAGTTCATCATGTGCTCTACTTCCTCCTGGTTCTCTTGAAGCTGTAGATGACAAACAAGAAATAAAGTTTATAAGATAAACTGTGATAAGTGCTGACTATAAGTTATAACAAGAAATCCCAGATTTTAGACTTCTGGGAAATATTTGGGTTTGTGGGAGTTCACAGACCAATGGCAAATGTTTCAAGACCTTTGTATGATATAATGCAATCAGATATTACACTAATTCTTGGTAGCTCAGTTCCAGGTGACCTACAACTGTCAAAATCACCTCCCACCCACCAAGTAACCAAGAGCCATTAGGACAAATCCACAAATCCTAAGCAACCCAAACAAAACTTCTATACCTGGAAGTGAAAAAAATAGTGTCTTTGAGTGACTTTCAACATTGAAAAAGTGTCTTTAAACAGTAAAATTCTTCAGATAAGAAACTCACATCAGCTCTTTTCTGCATGAGAATCTCAAGCCTCTCGCTGGCCCGTTTGCCCTGAGCCTTCTGTCTCTCTGACTCGTACTGCCGCTGGGTGTTATCCAGGTTCACACTCAGGGTCAGGGCTACGTTCACCAGGGCTGTCATCAGCTTCATCGCTGGGGAAAAACAAAAATAACAACAAATAAATAAACCATTAGCTGACAAACCGATATTCTGCATCTATCTACAAATATAGGAAACAGTTGATAAATTTCCATGTTAAGTTTTAATCCAATTGTTATTTTTCATTCAATAGAACCAAACTTAATGATTTCACAAACAAGAAACTGGAGATATCAGGCTTTTCAGGAAAAATGGGAGGGTTCTTCATGCAATCTTAAACTTCTGAATCCTCCCACGTCTTCCTGCTGGCTCCAGGCAATTTCTTGTGTCTGACCTTTGACCGTTATGCTGCCTGTCAATCTTCCCCCCACCCACATGCTGTCAACCTACTCTCTCCACAGAAGCAGACATACAAACCCACAAGTAAGCCACCCAAAACAATACTTCTGTACAGGGTAAAAATGCCTCCACCTTGAGGCATTGCCAAAAATGTCAGCTGTATGGCAACACTACGTTGTGCATATTGACAATCACACAAACAGAAACACAGTGACCTCTGGTAAGGCACGTACCTGCCAGAGTGCTTGTGTGCCTGAAGGCTCGTACTTGAGAGTGGGACAGTCCAGTCAGCAGGGAGATGACGTTGTCCATCATGTACTGGTCATAGATGATGCTGTACTGACACTGACGCACCAGGACGGCTATGAACTCACAGAAGTTGTTCCTGAAAAACGAATGGTCAAGGAAAAATTAGGTAAGATCTCCGTTCAATCTTAATTCGATCATTAATCTTAATTACAGAAAAGCTGTTTTTCCACTAGTCTTCTATCCATGCTTTTATGATATTTCACATATTTTAAACTAAAAACTACCCTGACAAATATATTTATAAGTCTTTATTTACAAACTGCATAGTGAGTGAGTGAGTGACTTTCAAGTTCTAAATTGTCATCTTTGAAAGAAACTGCAGGTTTAGAGGTTCACTCATGCAATCCTTGGTTTCCTGAATTCCCCCATATACCAAACAATTCCTGCTATGTTCCGGCCAGATTCTAGAACCTTAGTTCCCCTAAATTCCTATCTCTGACCTTTAGACATTCTGCCTGTCAATCTTCCCCATCCATGTGCTATCATCCTACCCAACTACCAGCCCAAACAAACATACACACAAAGTCACCCAAAACAATACTTCCACACCTACTATACCTGTAATAAGTAACAAACTCACTTGAATCTCTTGTACTGAGGCCCAGTCATGATCAGTGGGTAGTCTCCACTGTCCTGTAGCAAAACAAAAACATAACCACATGAGAAAACTTGCACACCAACCACTGCTTTCTCTCTCTATTCAAGTGGTGGTCAGGATAGCGTATACAATGTCTGCAATATGTAGCCAGTGGTTGGTGGGCATATTTTGCTTTGCACTTTAAAACTTAGGAGTATTATTCACTTAAAAATTGTCTAATTTTCAAATGTTACGCCAGTTGCATTGATGTGAAGGTTCAATCATTTTAACTTTATATTATTTTTATTATAAGCCCAATGCATTACAAAATATGACACTCCAAACGCAGCCGACAACATATTGCCACATTGCACACTGCTATCTTGTATCAAAATGCCGCAGACAATATGCTACGTTTCCATTAAGTCTTGCCATTCAGATATTTATTGATGCTATATATATTCTTTGGGTTAAAAACAGGACGTTGTAGCATTAAAAAGGTAGGTAGCATACTGCTGTTGCATATATTTTAAGGCTGCTCCAACTCAAAAACTTAATCCAGGATTTTCAAATAAAAGAAAAAGGTGACAGCCAAAAGGCTTTAAATTATAATAGAAAACTCTGGTATGAGTCCTTGAAAACTGCAATTTGAGACCCCACAAAGAAAACTGCAGAATGACACACAGATATTTCAGTTGGATATATTTTTTTTAGTTTGCTCAAAATGGTACCAAATATAATGTAAGGCATGAATTGTCTTTTATTGTATTGTATCTTACTTTAGTTTATTTTAGTAGCTTATTTTATTTCTTACAAAAAATTATCAATCCAGGATGACATAATTAAATTGGAGTGGCCTGACAAAACAACTCATAAAAGAAAGCGTACTAGTTCAGGTAACTGGAAGTGTAGAACCCAGGAGGCTGTCAACATTTTCTTGTGCAGAGCGCCTGTCTCCTGCACGGGAACACAGGCACAGCCGTTTAGGGCCACTCAGTCTAGTCTCCATTATCTTTCCCATTGAATAAGAATCCTGTCTATAGTAACCACCTGTCCATATAGACCATATTTCTCCAGCCCTGAGTGTCTTCTTTTCACCATAACAGATAGTATCAAATATGAATTGGATGTGACAATATAACCTACAATTATAGTTTGCCTACAAAGGTGGTGTTATGCCAAAGAGCATTTTATGGTAGTACAGGTCAGGGCTTGAAATGCTTTTTCTGAGTATGTTCGCTGGTGCAAGTTACACTGAAAACTACCTGCACCAGTCAATGAAAATCCATACATACACCTACATGTACATTTCAATTTGTACATTTAGGTGCAGGTAGACATCAGAAATGCTTGTTAAGCTCCCATTTTTCCAAGTTTAGGATTTGCAGCCCTGCAGATACATGTGTAGGTGAATACTTTGTCTGTCCTCTCTTTTATTCCCCCCACCTTCCCCTGGCTATTTCCCATGACTGTAACCTTCAGCTTTAATTCTGTTCTATCAATAAATCACTGCCCATGTCCACAGCACTCTGTTATTAACCCTCCTACCGTCTCCCTCCCTGATATCATGCTGAAGGTTCCCATTTGTCATCATCTCATAAGGGTTGGACAAGTTTTCAAAAATCCACTTTCCCTATCGGGCAAGTACATGCATTGGTCATTTGTACTTGCCTGAATCAACTTGCCCAAGATATGGAAATAATTTACTTTTTTTAATGCATTTTTACTTGCAATGAGGAAATTATTTCATTTTTCAGTAAAAAAGCACTTATGGTTTATGATGTTGCATGCTGTATCTACCAGGATATTTCAAAGATTTGCAATAGATTTTCTGACAAAAGGACATACTTTTGACTGGCATCAATGTAATATCTTTATAAGAAAACAATGAGTAATTTTCCTCCAAACACCACTTTACTGGAGCATAATGCCTCATCAAAAAATTTACTTGCCCACCATCTCCCTGCCTGCTATTATACTGAAGGATCCCATTTGTTATCCCTCACCAGTTTTCCCTGGTGTACCCACTTCTCTACTTACTGTGGGCTGCCCTATAGATAACCTGCATCTTTATAATCACATCAATTCATCTTCTATATAGCTCAAGTATTGTCACATACAGGGCTTGAAATTCACTTATAGGAATAAGGTATTTCTATCCTAAAAATGTGGGTGCACAGAAAAAAAACTGCATCTCTATAATCATATCAATTCATCTTCTACATGGCCCAAGTATTGTACCAGTGCAGGGCTCGAAATCCAGTTTCAGCTCAATAAGAACAAGGTGTGCCTATGCTAAAATGTAGGTACACAGATAAAATTTAAAAAATCTGATGCATAACATACTGCTACAGCATACAGCACCACATATACCATACAATACAGCACATCATATAATATTGAACAATTTGTTGTTTCTCAAGTATTTGAGAATCATCAAGAGTAGTGATGCATACCGGTTCACTGGACTTGGATCCGGACTTGTAAGAATGTTTAGGTTCAAGTCCAAAAAAACCTAAAAGTCAAGAACCGAGTCCGGACTTATTACCATAAAAGACCATTTCACGTTACCCCTTTTCTTTCCAAACCACCTAAAACCGTCCGTAGATTGCAAAATCTTTGCTGCAAAATGAAGAAAACATTGCCATTGGGCATCGTCAAGTACCGGCCTCCATGTTATGTGGCCAAAGTTTCACCCAGACAACATTTTAAGATTGCCAACATGCAATTTTGTATGTTCCATGGGTTTAGGTCCGGACTTACAAGTCCGGAACTGAACCTAAACCTCTGGACTTGAATCCGGACCTGAACCTAAAATTGAGTTTAGGTATGCATCACTAATCAAGAGCAATTCAATAAACTCAAAAGTGAGCAAGTGTAAAGTTAAAAGGTGTAATTGTAAATATAATGTTCGTCCATTAATTTCCATGGGTCGAAAGGACGTAAGTGCACTGTTACAAATTTAGTTTTGGAGAGAAAGTCAGTAAGTTTCTTTCGTAAGATGTCAAACAGTCTGTTTCCCAGTGCAGCTCATGATGTGTATTCCATATAGCATATGATGATAGAATTGCTAAGAGGCCTACTTAAGTACTAGTGGCCCATAACGGTGCATGGTAAATGTCATAATTAGCCATACGGTAATTTTTGTTACAAACCTCATCAAACTCTTCAGTCATCTTGCGGATGATGTCAGAGTGTTCCATGTTGTGTAACATTTCAGCTGTCACAAGGCCTGAAACAAAAAATAATCAGAGGTTTCAGACTTCTGGGAAGCACTGTTAACAGGGAGAAGGTTAAAAAAGCTAGGGTACAGAGTTTTGAGCATTTCTTCCAGTGCCCAACAAAAAAAGGAAAGTGATCTTGCTCCAATTTTAGTTCAACGAAGAGCTAATCTCTAGTTGTGCTAGAGAAGAAAGATGCTTCTCTATGTCAGTATTTACAGATTCATTGTACAGGAGAAATTCCCCTAGCTCTTTTCAACAAGCATAATGAAGAGTGGACCACAGCTAACATCCCGTCATAGAGACTGCGACCCATTCCAATAGCATGCATTTTGGGTGAGCAACAACAGCGGGGATTCAAACTCCCTTCCGTAAGATAATTAAGTTTTGTAGTATTATTGTCTCACTGCCACACTTTGTACCATGTACGATTGTCGAGCAATAAAGGGCCCAATAAAGTTCATTCATTCAGTCAACCTCTTGGTCCATAGGCAGGGTTATGTGTGCACTACATAAAACAGAACCCACCTTTGCATCCAGAGCACTGTATGAAGAACTGTATGAGGTCCAGCAGTGCCATGTCTCTGTCCTGTTTGTAGGAGTCGATCCACTCATCCACTACAGACTGGAGGGGAAGACAGTACAAACATATTAGCACTGAGATCTTTTTTTACTTCATAATTCAAACATTGTTATTGCTCAAAACTCAAAATGTATATAGGCAGGGGGAGCACCACATGCTTCTCCCTGAATAGAGTTTACAGTATTGTCGATTTTTTTTCAAACAATTAGAGACAACATCATAATGTTGCAAGATAACACAATGTTGCAGAAAATTCTGTGAGGATAGTGAAACCTGTAGTAAGACTTTAAGTTGTTCTAAAGTCTACTGGCACAATACACGAAGGAATGCTTCAGTCTAGCAAAAATTCTGTAGTACAATAGCAATACACAACACATATACATGATTTTGAGTCCCTTAAAAATAAAAACCCCGCAAGTATTTCAAGCCTCACTGTTTGTCAGCAAAGTTTCTAAAATATACATACCTGCATGGCAGATTTGCCCAGCTTGACCACCTCAAACAGGGTGACTGCAGCCTGTTCCTCTGTGGCTGTTCCATTGGGCTTGGGAGTTCTCCCTCCTGCACCCTTCTTACCACCTGGGGTCTTGGCCTTCTTGGCAGACTGAAAAAAAAAAATCATACAAATTAATTAATAAAATTACTATAAGAAATTGGGGGTTTCAGAATTCCAGGAGGTTTGGGTTTCCGTGACCTTCAAGTTCACCCCATTTCTTGTGTCTGACCTTTACACCTGTCACTCTGCCTGTCAATCTTCCTCCACCCAAGTGCTGTCAACCTACTTTGTCCTGACAGATACACAAACCCACGGCTCAGCCACCCATAAGAATACTTCTGAAAAAGCAAATCTGATGTAATAACCTCAAAGACTAACGTTAATTCTACTTGAAGTGTAGTCTTTGCTTTACTTTACTTTGTACATCATCATGTCAAGTAAACTTACTGGCGCTCCTCCAGCTCCCTTTGCAGGACGCTTCCTCCCCTTCCGTGGCTCCTCGAAGTCACTGTCCTCACCAGGAACAACGCTATGGAAAACAAACAGAACTGCTTACAGGAGAACTATCAAGTAAGTATATGCTTTACATTCCAAGGACATGGGGCCATAAGTCAACATTGCATTCAAAGTTTGTAGTCAGGCAGAGAGTACAATTTCTATCAGTACAAATAACTGGAACCAAAATTTCAAGTATCTTTTTGCAGTACGTCTCTATATCACAAATGGTTTCAAAAGCCTCTACCAGCATTGGTATCTCAAGAAAGAAGGAAGGGTGGTGGGAGGGAAGAAAGGGAAGGATGGGAGGGTCGATGGAAAGTATGGATAGGAGGGGAGGGATGGAAGGAAGGATGGATGAAAGGATAGAAGGACATTAAATGGAAGGAAAGAAGGAAGGAAAAGGAAAGCAGGAATAAAGGAAGGAAGGATAAAAGGAAAGTAAGAAGGATGGAAAGGAAGAAAAGGAAAGACGAAAAGGAACGAAAGAAGAAAAGACAGGAAAGAATGAAAAAAGGAAGGAAAAAACATAATAAGTCTGACTCACTCCTGTTCCTGCTCTAGCCCGGGATGTTCGGGGGTTCCCCCCTCGCTGCCGGACGCCATGCCCTTCCCCCTGCGCGTGATGTGAGGCGAGCCGATGTCTGCGAAGTCCCCGGGGTCCTGGGCCTTCTGACCCGCGTGCAGTGCTGGCATCATTCACTGGGAACAAACAGGGAAGAACAACACCTTAGTCTGTACATAAACAGGAAAAACAAAGGGTGCTGGTAATTTTCAATGATACCTGTACCAGTGCAAGAATGAAGAAAAAAAAGTATTTTGAGCCCTGAACTATGTCAATGTCTGGTGGAACGTCCTAAATTACGGTAGACAAGGTTCAAAAAACAATACTACAGTAAAACTGGTCTAAACAACCACTCAAGAGGCAAAAAACATAAGATACCTTCCTCGTTAGCTATGTAAATTAGATCTTTATTTGCATAATTATATATCTAGTTGTCAATTATTTTACTCATTATCAGTCCTACAAGAGATATTGACAACACAATCCTGTGAAAATTGAAGAAATTCCAGTACAATTCCAAGAACTGTTACAGCCTTGTTACATATACTATTAGGCTCGCCCCTGAGGCATCGCCAAAAACCTAAACACTATGACATCTCCATTGTTTAATTTTTTCTGGCCTGTTATGCTTCAGTACCTTGAGTGTACATGTACATTGGAGTGCATGAGTGGTAACAAGCATCATAAACGTCTTGTAGGACTAACACCTATCTGCAAAATCTAGGTCAAAACACCCTAAAGCTAGAAACATCCAAATGTGGCTCAAAATCTACCAAAACCCCAAACCACTCATAGAAAACCCTCCCTGCCATCGAAGAGATTAGTGCCAACGCTTTATTTCGAGCCCTGGGGCCTCAGCGGGCCTTGAATAGCCTTTTCATTGACAAGCCTGGAATGTAATACTCGGGTACATGTTAGGCAGACTGGGACAGCTTGCAAAGTTAGGTAACAGAGTTAGGCAGATTTTTCCTCTCTCTCCCAGATGGAGGGGTCAAGGTTCAAGCAGCCGACAATGTGTTGGCAGCCGACAGATTTCTGTGGACGCTTCTGTGTGTGTGTGTTCACATGGCGGAAGGAAGGGACCAACGACTACAAAATGGACCCGTCAGATAGTCATTTGGAAGGTCTGAAGATAGCTGTTGAGATGATTGAACATTAACTTGGGACTTGCAAACCAGGAAGAGCAGATAAAGCATTTTTAGGTGTCCTGATAATCGTTTGTGGGGTGTTTATCCTTGCTCCTTTTAGGCAGATATCCACAAAAACACTAGCTACTGCTGTCAATGGCTATGGGCTCATGGATCAAAATGCACTCTTCAAAAATGCTATAACAACCTTAGAAGAGCACTAAAGTAAAGGATAATCCCCAAGCAGATCTTTTGGTGGGGGTAAAGACAGTATCAAATTGGCCAGTCTGTAACCATTTCCCCTCCCAAGTACGAGACAAAAAAAAGGGCCATATATAAAAAGCAAACGATCTTCCACTATCAACCTCTGCTTGGAGAGTACTAAAGGATACAAATTAGGTAATTTGTGGTAGTGCAAATAAAAGTATTAACAATGAACACCAATATAAGTTTTGATTAACAATTCTCCATAGCTTTGAATTCAACTGTTTTCAATGAGGCTTTCAAAAGTTTGTTTTTTTGTCCCCTGACAATTGTCATAAGGAAACAGGTTTCACCAATACTTCTTAACAATACTGTACATCGTGAAACTTTTGCAGTGGGTTTATTTCCCAGTGTGATTTGAAAAGGAGCTTTTCACTGTGTTTTAAATTCTGTAGTACAGTAGTCATACAAGGAAGGCATATTCGCATTGTCATAAATTAACAGTCATTGAACGAAAACAAAATGACTGCAAAACTTTCACAATTAACAGTATCAACACGAGGCACCCACAAGTTGCCACTGTCAACCCGACATTGACAAATTAATGCATGCATGGTCCTTCCTCTTCTCACTAATGAATACAAAGGGGACTTCCACATTTCCTACCTTATATACAAGCCTATGTTACTGGGCTATTTGCTACCATTTTCACCAGGTAATGTACAATACTTCATCTTTCTTTGCAGGCCTTCCCTATGTTTACAAAATAAAACCTTACACGTTTACAGCTTCTCTTGAAATTAGGAATACAGGTTTTTTTTATAGAAAAATTTAGCATGATTGAACAGATCGCAAGCATGACAAGGAACGAAGTGACCGAGGGGGGATTTTTTTAAAAAGAGTAGCCACTTAGAGTTCAATCTGAAAATTGGTATGAGGGAGCTGGCTGGTTACTTGAGGGAGCAGCTCCCTTATTCCCGTTTGTCGGTATTCAGAATTTCACATCCAACAAGTACACAAATTATCATTTTAAGGATATTCTTTTGAAGTCAGTAACCATATAGCAAAAGCTGATTGAACAAGTACTGAATATAGTTATTATCTTGAAAATACTATGCGAAAATAGTACCATAGAAGAGAAAACTTTAGGCATATGTTGACCACATGGCATCGTTAATCACAGTCACACAAGCTCCATAGGCAACATATCAAGCTATAGTGATGATATGTACTACTCACATGCAAAATTCTGTTCATTTCTTTACACTAAGAAGAAATAAAAAGGGGCAAACAACATCTTTGTTATAAAAATAGGTTTAGATTAAAATACTAAGAACCAAACAAAATGCCGATAAATCCTATCCGCAAGAATTCATACTACACTGACATTTCAAATTATCAAGACTCCTTTTACGCCTTTCTGTTTTGCCCCACCGATAACAAAACGATTCCCACTTGTGACAGTGACAAATTTGATGGTTTAACTTCAAGTGAAGATACCAATAATCATTTAGAATTCTCCCACACGAGGAGAACGGAAGCGTTATCCTTGTCCCCGGAGGTCAATTTTGGTGGAAAGGCTGTCTCGTATCCTTTATATTCATCATCTTGTGCAGTGTCCGCAACTAGTAGAAAAGATCAAGAATGTGGTCGCACATTTTATGTTTCTTGTATGGAAAATATTGTTTCAAAAAGCCCACATAATAAAAATAAATGTCCCGCAACCCAACAGCAAATATAACCATAAAGTTAGAAATAAAACCAAATTGTTGGGTCTAGGAATCGAGAAGATGGCACCTTGGTTTTCTTGCCTTACAAGGCTAGTAATTTGCATAGGTCAATTTTCTTGGGGTCATTTAAGGTAAGGCTGGCTTGTCGTGAGACAAAGTAGTTTCACCAGAGGGTGACGCAAAAGTCATTCAATAGAGCAAACCTAAAAAAAGGATTCACAATTTGTTATAAAAATACTATTTCCCAAAACATTCCTTCACATCTTTAAACAGTTAGGCTATAGAAACTGAAACCAAGGGATTAGTATAGGACTTCTTGAAATATTTGCAATGGTTTTATATTTGTGGATTTTCAAGGTGTACTTCAAATACCGTGAACACCTCTTTTCTTCTATACAGCAAAATTAAGTGCTGCAATTGCATTTACCTGTGTATTTTGTGGTTATATTTTGGGGTATGGGGAAAAAGGATAACCTGGGTGCCATCCGATTTGTAACGGCAACCCCGAATTTTTCGGGGTTGCCATTACAAATTAGATGACACCCAGGCTTGGAATAGGAAGTTTTCACCGTGTTTAAGTTTGCGGTTTAAATTCTATAGAACAGCAGCACAACACCTATTCAAGGTGTGGTGATTTTCGTGGTATGACGTCTGTGCGAAAATAAAACCACCTCAAAAGTTTCTGTATTTACAGTAGAATGGAACATAATGAATTTACAGTAAACCCACCTTCAGAAAGTTAGTTTCCATCCATGGATGTGTATCATTATAATTTCATGAGGATCAGTGACAGCCTCTAGTGGCCTGTACTGTAGTGAAGACCTTGTCCAATTTGATGGTAGACTGTCATGGACCAGTACCACTAACAAGTTTATGTCATGAATTCTTAACAGTCCACCATGTGTGCTATCATTGCATCAGCAGCTACTTGTATAGGTTAGAAGGAAAAGGATATTGAACCATTATTAATTAGGTTATAAG